CGAACCCGCCACCTTAGGTGTATGTGGCTGGCACCTTAGCCGCTTGAGCCACAGGCGCCGAGCCATCCCAGTGTTTTTCAACCTTTTTTTTCTTTTTTTATCTCACTGCACACTTGAACCTATAGTTAAATTTCTGCAGCTCACTTTAATTATGTTGATCAAAAAAAGAAAAATAAAAGAGAGAGTAAAAGAATATACTTACCTGTACTTTGAACTTCTTTTGAAAATAATTTAATTAATGATCTTTTCAAAAATTTTTGCGGCCCACCTAAGGTCCTCTCACATCACATCAGAGTGCCCCAGCACACTGGCTGACAGTCACTGCCTTAGCCCCTGCTAGTTTCACATAATCTCTTTCAAGCGTCACTCTAAAGGGGATAATTCCACTCACCCCAAAGGACTGTTGCACAGATGAGACTTTGAAAGCACAATATGCTGCCCATGACCTCAGACCAGGGGGTGCTATGGCCGAAAGCATCTGGATTTCAACAAGGCACCCAACTAAGACCTTTATGATTTTTCTGTAGATGAGATAGAGAAATGGACCTGGAGAGTGGCTCATAACTGCCAGATGATCTTACTCAGAAGTTGCAAATTAAGAAATAATTTACCTCAAGAGTGGACACTGATGGCCCACCACGGCCTCGTGCCTGCCTCCTGTTCCCACACATTTCTTCCAAATCGGGACTGCCTCCTGAGTTAGATGAAGACACAGCTGGTATATTCACCCTGTCACTCTGACCTGCCACCACACAGTTTGATACCAAGGGCTGGTGATGAATATTCCAGAATGTCTCTGCTTCTCCTTTCCATCCTCTCAGCCCAGCATTGCTCAGATTCAAGTGTATCTTTCCTGGTCTGATGTGGGAACATCACATTGTATTTTATTTCACCTTCTATCTAGCCCACAGGCACTAGCTGCCTCAAACAGAAAACTGGCACTCTCCATAAGGCTGACAGCCTGTGGAGGTCAGTGGCCACTCAGTGCTCCATGCCAGTGCCCCGCTGTACACCTAGGAGCCTGCATGGGCATGGGTGTGGCCTCCTGAAGACCTGCGTGGGGCAGAGAGGGCAGCGGACAGGGAGCCAAGGGGCCTGACTCTAGCCCTGCCTCTCCATTGGACATGTGGCCAGGCCTGTCTGCTTCCGTAGTTACACTGTTACAACACTACTTGTGTCACACCTGAGGAGTACCACATAAGTATGAGAAAATTCTCTGCAAACTGAAAAATACCATTGACATATAAATATCAATTATTAATATTTTATCTCAATTGTTTTTTATAGTATAAACTAGGCTACAAATTGGGTAATAACAATGGTTTTGACTACAAATTTTCCCTCAATGACTCAAAGATAATTTCTGAATTTGCTTAACTACAAATTTTCCCTCAATGACTCAAAGATAATTTCTGAATTTGCTTAACATCAGCCAAACATTTGTTCAGGACCGGAAAAATGCTTTAAATTTGGCTCTGTTGCGGTTACTGAACACTTTGTAAATATTAAATGATTAATGAAATTGACACATTACCTACTTTTTAAAAATTAGAAATAGAAGACAGGAGAGGAATACAAGGTCAAAATCTTAACATTTAATGACAACCACAACAAATTTTCTTCACTGTCCTCTAGTTTTTTTAAAAATTAGATTATTGTTAGTGTTTATATAGTCATAAGTACTTTATATTCAATTTTTGGAAGCTGATGGGAAACCCAAACTACAAGAGAGAAATTTTCCCAGAGGGTGTGCTTATGGGTTTATTCCCACCGTAAGGGAAAACATTCACAGTGAAACCATTTGCTGTTATGACTTATCCAGCTGTTACTGTGAGAGTCAGCACCCCTCCACATTCTTTGATGTTCCTTAGAGGTTTCCTTTGCTTTGACTCTTGGTCAGAATTATTCTTTTAGCCATTTTTAACAGGAGGTACAAAGCTGAGATGTTTCCTGAGCCCTCCTCTATTTGAGAAGGTCATTTTGCACCTCAGCCTTCACCTCTCAGGACTTTTTTTTCACTGTTCTTTGGCTTTTAACGGTGATGAACAATTGCATTCTGGGGGCACTGTAGTTTTTGTGCCTTTGTAGGTCAGCCTGTTGTTTCTAGCAGAACACTTTTAGTAGTTATGTCCCAGTGTTCTGTAAAATGTCGACAGGTGCTCCAAAAAGGGGGTGAGGCCCAGAATCAAATACATTTGGGAAATACTGGCTTATGTGTACAATGCTGCCAGACATGTTTGGGGAGTGCAAGGCTGTGCTGATGTGCACAGTGAACCTTCAAAGCTTCTGTGGCAATTCCTGAATGTATTTAATAACAGGACTCTTCGAGTTCATGGAACACTAAGTAACAGTTCCTAAGAAGTGTTCTGCAAAGCCCAATTTGGGACATGCTGGCTTGTAATTTTAATTATATTTATATTTAAGCTCTCTAAAAAAGCAGGCTGTATCTAAGTGAAAGTCTCTTTGTCTTTTCATTCCTGCTTGTTCTTTCCCTATGGCTTTCAGCTACATAAATACCGTGTTTTCTCCAATCACACTGAGAATACTGGGAAGGTTTTCCACAAAGAGCTTTAATTCCTTTTAAAAGTGACTTTCACAGTCATGATTCTACAGCATCTTCCAGGTGACATCTCCTTCCCCTTCTTCTGAAGAATGTTTGCAGGTAGGCTCCATACAGATTTCTGTTTTGTACTTACTCATCTCCAACTGAAAACAAATTGACACAGAAGCAAGGGGTTGGGCACTTTAGGACACACGGGTGGTGATTAAACACCTTCTCACAATCACCTGTAACTGGCAGGGTGATGTCTGCTTCTCCAAGTCCATTTCCCAGAAAAAAGCTGGTATCCACATCGTGCAAGTTTGTCAGGACAAGATCTTTCCTAGGCATTGCTTGGATACCATGAATACACAGGGCAAGACATGGAAGCAGCTAGAGGCCTCTCTGGGCACTGGCATTGGGGCCCCTCCTGTTGCCAGCAGCAGCTCAACTCCTGTGCTCCCCTCCTTGACTCTGCTTTGGATGTGAAGGAGCCGCCACTGCCAGGCTCCCCTGACTCCCTACCCATGGGTTTTCAGGGAGTTGCCATTTTTAAGTGTTCATGTATGAAACTCAAATGGGGAGGAGCAGGAAGAGGAGAAACCACAGCACTCTGCCAGGCATGGCGGTGGCACCTGCAGTCCCAGCTACTTAGGAGGCAGAGGCGGGAGGATCGAAGCTACAGTGAGCTATGATCAAACCACTGCACTCCAGCCTGGTGACAGAGACCTCATCTCTTAAAACAAAACAAAAAGCACAGCATTCTATAAAACGTGAAGTCCCACCTGGGCGGTATGCCAGCTGCTCTGCTTTCTGAGGGCATAGATTTGGATTTCTAAGTGTGAGCAGGAGGTGGGAGGGATGAATGGTTGGCTCCCCTTGCATCCCAGTGGACCGAGCACAGGCAGGTCACTGATGATGTTTCTGACCTCACAGACTGTTCCTCTAGATTCTGTAACGAGGTGGAATGTACGTCCTCATTCTGGGGATTTGGAAAATCTTTCCTTTTTACTTCATCATTGGTCATTTATAGTAAGAAGCAGGAAGAGGCTGTTAGCAAATGCCTTTTTAAAATGGAAATCTATAATTAAGTTTTTGATTTTAATGGTGGGAAAAACCCATTAAATAATTTCCCCCCTGATATTAGCAAATTATAGAACAAAATGCAACAGCAATTTTAAAGCAGCTGGGTTCTGGATAAAAACGGACATGGTTTTGACATCCCAGGTTCCTTATTTACCAGTTGTGTGACCTTGGCACTTCACTTACTAATTGTACCTACTTATTAATACTACCTTCAGGCCAGAAAAGTATGAGTTCACGTCTTCTCTGTTCTGAGTCCATCCGTGCGGTACCTAAACACTCTGAAAAAGTAACGTGGACAATTATAAGAATTCTGGAAACCACACTTGGTTTTTCTTGGTCCCTGCAGCTGACTAAGTGCATTTCAAAGCCTCATGTAGTGGTCTTAAGAAGCGGTAATCATTCTTAAAAGAACTGTTCTGAAGATTGCTTCTAAATGTGCCAATGATCGGTGGAAAAACGGAGAGTTCAACAGTAAGTGGTTATACAGCGGGAACGCCCATGCCCTAATTTAACATCCCCATCTGAAAGTATAATTTTTAAGAGCTTGCTCAAAAAATTTTCATATGTTTAAAAATTTGCCAAACAGGTGGGAAAAGCCAGTATAATTAAAACCAATTATTTATTCCAAGTTCAATCCATTTAAAGTTTTTCCGACGTTATTACGGAAGTGAACACTGACATCAGAGACGAGTTTTCACAGCTGTGGCATTTATAACAAAGTTAATATCTACATGACCATGATGCAAAAATTGAGGATGTTTCCGTTATTCAGAATCCATGAAGAAAGTTTCGAAGTCCAGGTCCAAGTCAGAGACAAGGGCACTTACAAAGTCATCAACAGAAGGACACTTCTGAAGCATTCCTGCAAATGAAGGAGAGGTCAGTGACATGCTCACTGGGAGGCAAGGACAAGGACACAAATTCAAATTCCTAAGGGAACCTACGGGCTCTGTGCAATCAGAGTTTGGTTCTATGACCTGATTAAAAGGACATTTCATAAAGTCAGGGGCAACAGTCTAAAACTATTTATAATCTTAATGCACTTTTACTATATAATCGCAACTTAGCGTAGAGGGATAGGCCCAAATATACTTCCTAAGGGTTTTTATCTTTGGGTATATTATATACATCCTTGGAGTGATGCTAGAAGACTAAAGTTTTTAGTTATCTTTGACTGGGATGATTCAGAATTTAATAAATTTAATAACTTACCAAGTTTTATTATCCAATTTTATCCACTTCAGAATCAACCAAGTATTAATTCTTTTATAGGAATCTTGTATTAGAATCAAGTTACTGGCTTTCCTTCAGACTTCTCTATCCTAGAAAACCCCTGGCTTTGTAACTTACTAACTACATAATGTAGAAATCACTTAAAATCTCTGGTACTCAAACTTCCGCATCTAATATACAAGGCTGCTCTAAAGATAAAACAAGACAATGCATTAGGAAGCAGTGAGGCACCATATCTAGCATACGTTAAGAATTCAAGCTGGGCACAGTGGCTCACGCCTGAAATCCTAGCACTCTGGGTGGCCAAGGTGGGAGAATAGCTTGAGCTCAGGAGTTCAAGAACAACCTGAGCAAGAATGATCTTGTCTCTACTAAAAATAAAAGAATTAGCTGGACACAGTGGCACATGCCTGTAGTCCCAGTTACTTAAGAGGCTGAAGCAGGAGGATCATTTGAGCCCAAGAGTTGGAGGTTGCAGTGAGCTACAATGATGACATTGCACTCTACGTGGGATGACAAAGTGAGACTGTCTCAAAAAAAAAAAATTCAATAAAAAGCTGAATTTATCTCCTTTCTTGACCCCAAAGCAGCCAGGGACAAGAATTCAAGCAATCAACCTACTGCTCCAACCTGTATTCTTGGTAGAAGTGCTAATTCAAGGGTTGAATGGGCTCTGTATATTAACATTTAATTTGGGGGACAGATCCTACAAAACTATTTTCAATATCAACTCATTAAAAGATTGCCGGAATCCTATTATTCTCTGAATCATAATGTAATTCACTGAAGACATATTTAACATTTGCTGTGTGTAAAGAATCAGGTCAGGTCATGGGCATAAAAAGATGGGCAGTTTAAGTTACAATGTGAGGGTGAGAAGAACATACTTCCAAAGGGGAGAAAAAGTAGATGTCACAGGGGAGAGAACTAACCTTGACCTCTACTCCATACCATACGTAAAAATTAATCTGAGATAGTTACAGACCTAATTGTAAAAGCTAAAATTAATACATATTTTTAAAAACACGTACAGAACATCTTTGTGACTTTGAAGTAGGCAATGTTTCTTAGGACATAGAAAGCAATAACCGGCTCGGCGCCTATAGCTCAACCGGCTAAGGCGCCAGCCACGTACACCTAAGGTGGCGGGTTCGAATCCCCAGCCCGGACCCGCCAAACAACAATGACGGCTGCAACCAAAAAATAGCCGGGCGTTGTGGCGGGCGCCTGTGGTCCCAGCTACTTGGGAGGCGGAGGCAGGAGACTCGCTTGAGCCCCGGAGTTGGAGGTTGCTGTGAGCTGTAATGCCATGGCACTCTACCCAGGGGGACAGCTTGAGGCTCTGTCAAAAAAAAAAAAAAAAAAAAGAAAGCAATAACCATAAAAGAAAAAAACCAATATATTAGATTTCATCAAAATCAACACCACCCACTCTTTAGAAGAAACCATTAAGATAGTGAACAGGGAAATAACACAGTGGTAAAAAATACTCACAAAACACATATCTCACATTGGGCTGGTATTCAGGATATATAAAGAACTCCTTTTAACCCATCATAAAAACATGAAAAAGATTATAAATGGACATAAAATTTGACCTTCATAAGGTCATACCTTTCACAGAAGAGAATAGCCAAATAAATAACACAACTAACAGGCACTGAGAAAATACTCAACATCATTACCCATCAGGGAAATGAGAACCAAACCCAGTGACACGCTGCAACACATCCACCAGAACAGCTCAAATTAAAAAGATCAACACCACCAAATGCTGACAAGGCTGTGGGCAACCTATATTGTCATTAATCTGTGGTGAAGGGTGAAATGACATAACCACTTCAGAAAAAAGTCTAGCAATTTCTTATAACACTAAATGTAAATCTACCCTGTATGTAACCCAGCAATTTCACTCGTAGATATTTACTCAAGAGAAATGAAAGCATAGGTCAGCCAGGAGAGAACCCGTATAACCCATACTAGAAAGCACACGAGTTTCCATTAACAGGATGTGGACGTGACATATTCATGTAATGGAGTATCACTGAGGAGCAAAAGGCATAACCGCTCATACACACAACCACATGGATGAATCTCAAAATCACTGTGCTGAGAGGAGGAGGCTGGGTGTGGAGGCTCACACCTACAATCCTAGCACACTGAGAGGCCAAGGGTGCATTCCTTGAGCTCATAACGAGCCTGAGGAAAAAGCAGGACCCTATTTCTACTAAAAAATAGAAAAATTGAGGTGAGAGTATCACTTAAGCCCAAGAGTTGGAGGAGGTTGCTGTGAGCTATGATGACGCCATGGCACTTTACCGAGGGCAACAGCATGAGACTCTGTCTCAAAAAAAAAAAAAAAAAGAAAGAAAGAAAGAAAGAAAGAAAGAAGGAATCTTTGTGCATGAAGGAGAACATACCATCTGCTTTCATTTAGATGCAGTTTAAAACTAGGCTAGATGAAATAAAAAATACCCAGAACCATGGCTGCTTTTGGTAACAAAGATACTGAAATTGACTGAGAAGGGGTACGAGGAAACTCTCTGATGTGATGAGAGTTTCTATGTGTGGACAGTGATTTGAGTTATAAATGTATGTGCATGCAAAAACTTGTCAAATGGTACATTTAAGATACTGTATGAGAATTTTACCTTAAAAAAGTAAATAAAGATTGAACTCTAGTTAATGCTATACATGTGAGACTGCGTAGGGGTAGAATGTGCTGGTATTTACTACTAACTCTGAAATGCATACAGACACATGACAGACTGATGGGCAGATGGAGGGAGGGACACATGAAAATATAGAAAAATGTCAGTTACAGAATCAAAATGGCAAGCATATTAGTCTTTACCATGCTATTCATTCAACATTTCTGAATGTTTGAAAATTTTCAAAATCAAAATTAGAAAGAGGAAACTGTGGATGTCATAGCACAAAGTACAGTCAAGTGGGAGAAAAGAGACCAGTGAGTTCCAATGCAGCGATTCAGGTTTTGTGGAGAATGGATCTGAGCACAGACTTAAAAGGTGAGTAGGATTTAGGAGCAAATTAGAGCCTTGAAGGCAGAGGGACACCACAGAAGTAGAAACGGGTAGAGTGTGCTGGCCATGCAGTGTCTGGTGGGGTAGAGGAAGGCTAGAGGGGACTTTGGGAGAGGAGCGGTGTGATACAGCCCTGAAGCTCTGAACCACAGCAGCGAGCAGAGCAGGAGGGCTGAACAAGCTGCAACCCAGGGGATGCTTCACGTGTACACGGCCAGGCTTCCACCGGCAACAGGAACGCAGAGCTTGGCGTCAGGTCTGGGCCTAGAGATGTGGATCCAATTGTCCCCACTGGGCAGGGCACACACTTTGGGAAACATACCAAGGATTGGTCTGTATGGTGAACGTGAGAATAGCAGGTTCAAATGCATACTTGAAAGCCACTAACTAGACCTGGTTGAGAACAATAAAATATTATAATATTTTCTGCTTATATTATACTATGTATTATATTATATATTAAAATATTATAATATGTCCACTAAATTTTGCTTGAGAACAATACAATATAATATTTTCAACTACAGACCAAAATATTTTCAAATCTAATAGTTCCATTTTAGGAAATAGTTGAGAAACAAGGGAGGCAGTTATTGGAAAAGAATTTCATTGCTATGTCTTTATTTGTTCAACTAAAATCAAAATACAATTTTCTTTCTTACAGTAAAATAATCCCTAAGGAAGAATGCAGGCATGCCTCTGGTCCAGCAGTGTAACTAATGATAGAAATGCCAGGTCTCTAATTGTTACACTGGCACACTCTGTGCTGTACCTTCTAGAAGGTCATTACTTAAGGAGACTCAATCTCATTATAAATCAGGTTTCAAGCATTTCCTATGTGCCAGGTTTCTTGATGCAAATAACATCTGTAGGGAAAACACTTAAACATGGCTTTCAATCAAATGTGCTAACCTGTCCCACCATTTTCTTCCTTTTAATATTTGAAACATTTCTATAATTACATGAGTGGTCATTTATAATTAAATGACTAGAGCTGTCAGAAAGTAAAACCATTTATTCAGAGCCAACTTCTGCAGGTAAGTATGGCTCTCCCGTTCCTTTGAAGTGGTTTACTTCAGCTCAACCAACTGCCAATATAAGCATGACCTTGCTCTCTCCTTCTTGGCAGACAGGCCTAACTAGTACACGTCCCTCTCCAATTTCCCATCTTAAACTATCCTTGCCATTTCACAGAATGGCAACTGTGGCAACAAGAGAAAAATATACACACTTGTGGGCTCTCCTAATAAAATATGGTTAGAGCTAAATGGTTTGGTGACTTTGTATGTAATGTGATTGCCAAAGATGAAGGTTCAAAAAGGAGAAGATGAGGAGTAAGGAGCAGTTACTAGGTCCAGAACACTCGGTACAGTATCCTCACTCTAAATAGATCAGAAGGCTTTGCATGGTGGCTCATGCCTGTAATTCCAGCACCCTGGGAGGCCAAGATGGGCGGATGGCCTGAGCTCATGAGTTCAAGATCAGCCTGAGCTAGAGCAAGACTCCATCTCTAAAAATCGCCAGGTGTTGTGGTGATGCCTGTAGTCTCGGCTACTCAGGAGGCTGTGGCAAAAGAATTGCTTGA